GTGTGTGTGTGCGTGTGCGTGTGCGTGTGCGTGTGTGTGTGCTGTACTGGGGTTTGAACTAGGGGCCTTGTGCTCTTGCTTAGTGCCTCTTTCTCTCTCCCCTCTCTCTGTGTCTGTCTCCCCCAGCTTTCCCTCCCTCTCTCTCTCGTGCTCTGTATCTTATTTCTGAGTTAGGCCCTCCTACCTTTGCCAGAGTGGACCCGGCACTGGACATCCTCTGCTCCTGAGCAGCTGGGATTACAGGCGTGTGCCACCCTGCCCCTCTTCAGCTGGGATTACAGGCGTATGCCACCCTGCCCCTCTTCAGCTGGGATTACAGGCGTATGCCACCCTGCCCCTCTTCAGCTGGGATTACAGGCGTATGCCACCCTGCCCCAATTCACCACCACTCACGGGGGCGCCGCTCCACTGCAGGAATGAGTGCCGCTGAGGGGACTGGAGGAGGGGAACGGGGTGGGGGGACAGGGGCTCACAGGGCAGATCAACCCTCCATGGGGGAGGGAGGAGAACGGGGGGGGGGGCTTCTGCCTGTGAGACCACTTGGGGGTTTTGAGGTCTCGCAGTGGGTTTCCGGACATTTTGGAGGTACTTGTCCAAGATTTGCTCAGTGTTTTTTTTTCCTCTCCCCAACCCCCCAACACACACACAAAGTTCAAGGAGCTGAACAGACAAGGTCCTAGGGGGTCCCAGGACAGGAGGAGGTGCTGTGGGGGGGGACCAGCCACCCCTCTCCTCTGACACCTGCTGCGACCCTAGGGGGCTTTGCCTGGGTCAATGTCCCCCGTCCCCCCCCCCCGCATGCCTGGCCTGCCCGCCACTTCCTGTCTGCCCCCAGCCCCCGCCCCACCTTTTACTGGGCGAGTGGGGGTGGGGTGGGGGGGCCTCTTCCCTGCTTGGACTTCCCAGGCCTGGATTTCTCTCCCCAGGCTCCTCCACTCTGGGCAGAAAGGCGCCCCACGCGGTTCTCTACCTGCCCGCCAGGAGGCTCACCATCACCTGGAGCAGGCCAGAGGTTTCTGCTTCCTAAAGAGGCACCCGGTGAAAGCAAGGTGGGGCCCGGGAGGGACACACCCCTTCGTTCACTCCGAAAACCGCTCCGTGTCTCCCGGAGAGGTTAAAAACCCGCCTGCAGAGACCAATTGGCCTAAAGCCACCTGCTCGCCAATTATAAACTTATAATTAGCCTTTTCTCCCAGGGCCAGGCTCGGGTGCCCAGCCCGCGCGGCCTGGCTCTGCTCTGCCCCTAGTGGTGGCGGCCGGTCTAGCAGGGAGTCACGCGAGCGCTTTACGGCATTTCCGGAAACGGGAGTCTGGAGAACGAAGCCTTATTTGCATACCCACAATGCATTGCATAAGTTAGTTCCTACTTTAAAGTTACTCGATTCTCCCTTTCGCCTTCCACCGATTTTTTTTCACAAAAATGGAATTCCGGTTTTGTGTTTGTCTTCGGAATAAAAAGGCACATGTCACTATTTCTTTGGCAAAAATAATCACCATTAGAGAATTAGGGCTATCGGTTACCCGAGGACTAAGTGCTCAGCTGCAGAAAGCATACTCTGGTTTCTCTTCAGATCGTATAAATCTTTCGCCTTTTACTAAAGATTTCCGTGGAGAGGAACAACTCTGAGTCTTAAACCAATTTTTTGAGGCCTTGCGCTTGCAAGGCTAATCATGGTGTTTAAAGATAGACTGGTTTTGTAGACTGGGAAGGTTCTGTGTATTCTCTACTATTTCTTGCGCTATTCCGGTTAAGAGCCTCAAGCTGGAAATGGTGTGGTTATGGATGCTACTAGCTAATAGAGTAACTTAGGTTTCAGGGTGGTAGTTATAATCTGTACCTAGGATATAACAAAGCTCAGGGACAAAAAAAAAAAAGCAAACAAGTGAAGGTGAGGTGTAATTGGAGAGTTAACAGTAGTAACCAAAAAAGCAAACTGAGTAAGCAAAAGGCTGAGTTCAGGACTGAGGGGCAAAGTAGCTGGTGCCTGTACTCTTAGCTATGTTGGAGTTCTGGTACAAGGAGAAAAAAAGCAAAGCTAAATTGGAAACTAGTGGGTGGAGGGGAAGTGAATACTACTATCCATTTTGGACAACAGTTTAAGTTTAGGATGCGTGTTAAAAACACGTGGAAGTGAATACTACTGCCCATTTTGGACAACAGTTTGGGCCACTGTGCCTGTGCATGCTCAGCCATAAGGGAAGCTGGGAAGTATAGTCAAGACAGCCCAGGGACCTGTGGGTGATGGAGGTTGCACGTTGAGGAAAAGACCTGTTAGGGTAGGAGGAATTGAGCCGGTTTTCAGGCACCTGGTTTCAGGTACCTCCAGGCTCGGAGCTGTGGATGAGGGAGGTATGCACAGTAGAAGGCTGTCCCACGTCCACAGTCCCAGTGCGTTCTTGAGTGGAGCAGCGCAGGAGCAGGGTGTCTCCTGAGTTTTTGCCTGTGCAGGAGCAGTTTGCCCTCCACACCAGATGCTTACCTGAGTCTTCTTTCCTGGAGCTAAGGCGCTCACGGAGATGACAGATACCAGGAGAGCTGGGGACTCTTCAAAGTTAATTCACAGGCCCAGCAAAAGCATCTTTTAAGTTGTCGTTTTACAGAAGACAATCCTTCCCAAAGCCTCTCTGTGAGCTGTCAAGTCTGTCCTTGTGCTGGCCCTGGGATGCCCGGTTCACAAAACGGAGCCCAGGCTTGGGGATCCTGGATGCGCTGAGAGCCAGCTACCCATGGTGGCACTCTCCCCTTCAAGCAGAAGAGAGTGATTTCCCCTTCTTTCCCCTGGGCCAGGGGCTCCAGCGCATGACCAGCTCTAGCCTGGAGATCAGCCTGTCCCTCACAGCTAAATGCTGGTGGTCACTGCTCTCTTTGGGCTCAGGTCCATGTGGGTTCTCAAGCAGGAGTGAGGTGGTTGTGTTTGGGAGCTCCTCGGAAAGCTCTTAGAAGTTTCAAATTAAGCCAGGCGCCAGTGGCTCACACCTGTCATCCTAGCTACTCAGGAGGCTGAAATCTGAGGATCATGGCTTGAAGTCAGCCCAGGCAAGAAAGTCCATGAGACTCTCATCTCCAATAAACCACTAGATGTTGGGAGCCGACAGTAAAGCTCTAAGGTCATCTTGACCCCTGTGCTCACTTGAAGGCATGTACAAGGAACTGTCTTTCATGAAAAACACCAGGTGCCCGGGATTGCCTTGCTATGTCTGTAGAGTTTGTTTTACTTTCTACCAGTTGACCTTATCTTGTTTTTACTGCACTTTGTTTTTATTAAAATTTTCCTTGTTTTTCTGCACTATGGTAACCTTATGTTACCTCTTGACTTCTAATAGTATATAATAGGGAAAGTTAAAAATAAACGGAGCTGTAGTCTTGAGCTGCAGACTCCCCAACCCCATCCTTTGTCTTATGTCTTTATTTTTCCGCATCCTCACCCCCTAATTCAGGATTCCCTTTCGTTACTGGCAGGCTCCGGCAACTAGAAAACCAGACAAGATGCTGTGGCTCAAGTGGTAGAGCACTAGTCTACAGCTGAAGAGCTGAGGGACAGCGCCCAGGCCCAGGGTTCAGGCCCCATGACTGACAAAAAAAAAGGAAAGAGGTTTCAAATTAATAATTGAATTAATAATTAGAATTTCAAAATGACCAGTTATATTGAAACACAAGTGCACACCTAGCTTTTTTTCTTTCTTTTTTGCCAGTCTTGGGGCTTGAACTCAGGGCCTGAGCACTGTCCCTGGGCTTCTTTGGCTCAAGGCTAGCATTCTACCACTTGAGCCACAACGCCACTTCCTTCTGACTTTTTCTGCTTATGTGGTACTGAGGAATCCAGCCCAGGGCTTCGTGCACTCTACCACTAAGCCATATTCCCAGCCCCACACCTAGCTTTTAAAATGACCTAGTATAAATGAGCACTCAAAGCACTGCCTCTAAGTATTCTTTTTTTTTTTTTTTGTCAGTTGTTGGGCTTGAACCTGGGGCCTGGGCACTGTCCCTGAGCTTCTTTTGCTCAAGGCTGACACTCTATCTTGAGCCACAGCATCACTTCTGACTTTTTCTTTTCTTTTTTTCCGGTCACAGGGCTTGAACTCTGGGCCTGGGAGCTATCCTTCAGCTCAAGGCTAGCACTCTACCATTTGAGCCACAGCACCACTTCTGGTTTTCTGAGTGGTTTATTAGAGATCAGAGTCTCACGGACTTTTCTTGCCCAGGCTGGCTTTGAACCCCAATCCTCAGATCTCAGCCTCCTGAGTAGCTAGGATTACAGGCATGAGCCACCGGTGCATGGCTTTTTGTTTTGTTTTGTCGGTCATGGGGCTTGGACTTTGGTTCTGGGCGCTGTCCCTCAGCTCTTCAGCTCAAGGTGAGCTTGAGCTGAGCTTGAGCCACAGCATCACTTCCACTTCTGACTTTTTCTGTGTATGTGGTACTAAGGAATCGAACCCAGGGCTTTATGCATGCTAGGCAAGCACTCTACCTACACTAAGCTACCTTCCCAGCCCCTCTAAGTATCATTTTTGTTTCAAAGGCAGCCGGGCTCCTTGGAGAAATAATCACTGTGGCTTCTGAGGGAAGCCAGGAGCTAGGCTGGGATTTATAATGCTTCTCTGTAGGCAAGCCAATAATTAGTTTATCCTGGGAGAATGCAGACCCTGCTTGACACCTCCCCCCTTCCCTGTCCCAGCTCCACTAACAACCTCCCTGTGACCCTTGATGAGTCAGTCACTCTTGTTCAGTGGGTCTCAGCATCATCCTCAGTTGGTTTAGGAGGAAGCTATAAAGATTGGCTGAAGCCATCACCCATTGGGGAGCAGGGTCACTGCCCCCAGCAAGGGCTGGCTGCTGAGCCATCCCTGCCTCTGGCGCTGGGATTACAGGTGTACCATCACCATCCTGCCTGTTATTACCTCGGATGTCATCATTGCTGTGAACTGGAGACAGCGACCCCTTGCCCTTCGAGGTCAGAGCTGGGGGTAAATGAACCCAGCTCCTTCCCCTTACCTCTCACCTTCTCTTACAGATGTGGCTCCTGACAAACAGATACTTGATACTTGTCTTTTGCATCCCCTCTACTTCTGCTCCCCATGACGATCAGCAAACTGCTCACCCTCAGCAGGCTGCTCTGGGTCCCTGGACTTTCACCAACTGAAACTTCTGGTTAATCATTTGGCTCAGCAGTGTCCATTGAGAACCCGGCTCTTAGGGTGGCGGCGGGGACTATGCCTCTGGTGCTAGGGCTTGAGCTCAAGGCCTTGTACTCTTGCTTTAAAACTTTTTTTTTTTGGCCAGGTACTGGTGGCTCATGCCTCCCATAGCTGCTCAGGAGGCTGAGATCTGAGGATCGTGGTTCAAAGCCAGCCACGGCAGGAAAGTCCAGGCAACCCTTATCTCCAATTAACTACCAGAAAACCGGAAGTGGAGCTGTGACTCAAAGTTTAGAGTGCTCGGCTTGAATGGCAAAGCTCAGGGATAGTGCCCAGGCCCAGTTCAAGCCCCACAAATAATTTTTTTTTTTTTGTTTTCAAGTCAGGCATGGTAGCTAACATCTGCAATCTAGCTATGGAGAGACTAGAATACTGTTTCAAGTTCAGCCAGGCCAAAAGGGTGTGTTGGCACAGACCTGAATCCCAGCTACATGGGAGGCATGGGTAGGATTGCAATCCAGGCCTCTGTGGGGGGCGGGAGGGGGGACAAAACTAAACTAAAGGCCTGGAGATTAGCTCAAGTTGAAAGTGCTTTAAAAAAAAAAATCCAGACACAAGCAGCCTATGCCTACAATCCTAGCTGCTCAGGAGGCTGAGATCTGAGGTTCTTGGTTTGAAGCCGGTCAGGGCAGTAAGTGTGTGAGACCCTTCTCTGTAATTAACCACCAAAAAGCCTAGAAGTAGAGCTGTGGCTTAACTGGGAGAGCTTTTAGGGATAAATCTAAGGGACAGTGCTCAGACCCTGAATTCAAGCTTTAGTAGCTGTACACACACAGACACAGACAGACAGACACACACACACATTCAGCCATTCATTTCTTAGGTACCAGAGACACAGGTTCATGTTACAATGGGAGTCTACACACTGGGCTCCAAGTTCAACAGAGAGCCGGAGCCACACGTGGTAGTTCCTGGTGTCTGGCAGCTTGCAGCCTGGTGGAAATGGAGACCACGTCACCACCCTGCTGCACCCGACGTTCCCATCCCCACTCCCAGAGAGGAAGAAGCCAGCCTGCACCCTGGAAAGGGGCGCTAGTCAGTGGAGGGCTGAGGCCGGAGGAGATCAGCAGCAGGGAGCCAGCAGGCAAGCCTGGCACTGTCCACGCCCGCTCTCCCCAGCCACAGCATGCGCTCCTTGGGGAGCAGACTGCGCTCCCTAAGTCATGACTTTAAAAAGGCCTGGGCCGGCCTGGGAAGGTGGCTCTGTGATAAAGTGCTTGCTCAGCATGCATAAAGCTCTGGGTTCAAGTCCTCAAGTACTACATAAACAGAAAAAGTAGTGGTGCTGTGGCTCAAGCCAAAGAGTGCTAGCCTTGCACAAAAGCAGCTCAGGGACAGCGCCCAGGACTGGCAAAAATAATTTTTTTTTTTTTTAGGCTTGGGCTGGGTGCCGGTGGCTCATATCTATAATCCTAGCTAATCAGGAGGCTGAGATCTGAGAATCAGCAGTTCACAGCCAGCCCAGGCAGGAAAGTCCATGAGACTCTTGTTTTTTTTTTGGGTCCAGTCGTGGGGCCTGAACTCTGGGCCTGGGCACTGTCCCTCAGCTCTTCAGCTCAAGGCTAGCGCTCTACCACTTGAGCCACAGCACCACTTTGGCTTTTTTCTTTTTGCTTATGTGGTGCTGAGGAATCTAACCCAGGGCCTCAGGCATGCAAGGCAAGCACTCTACCACTGAGCCACCTTCCCAGCCTTCCATGAGACTCTTATCTCCAATGAGCCACCAGAAAACCAGAAGTGGCTCTGTGGCTCAAGTGGTAGAGAGCTCGCCTTGAGCTGAAGAGCTTGGGGTCAGCGCCCAGGCCTAGAGTTCAGGCCCCATGACTAAAAAAAAAAAAAAAAAAAACCCCAAAGACAAAGGCCTGGGACACAGGACTAGAGAACCTGCCTCAGGGGCGGCCGCAGAGTGGACAGCCCTTCTCTCCTAAGGGGAGAGACTGCTTACTTCTTCCCATGGCTGCCTACATCTAGGAAAACCCCCAGAGGACCTGGGGCAGGGAAGAACCCCGCCAGCCTGGAGAGTGGCGGGCAGCGCACCTACAATGGCTCCTTTGAAGGACAGAAGACAGGGGGTCAGAATCACCATCGGGGAGCGGGGGTCCTGCTTCCGAACCCTAGAGTCTGGTGACAGGGAGCTGGCGATGAAGGGGTCCGCGGCTGTCAAACACACACCAAGCACGTCACAAAGTCTGAAAGGTATTTATTTAAAAACAGAACAACAACAACAAAAAAAGCTTTGGTATTTCAAAACCAATCATCATCATTGCTAGAAAGTTAGACATCCCCCAAGCTGCAAAGTACAAACCCACAGACCCCACGAGCTCATGATAAGAGAGATGACGTGCCACCCGAGCGGCAGGGGTCGGGTGAGCCCGCCAACGCTCACCCCCTAAGGTGGGTGCAAAAGCCATCCAGAGAAATCGCAGCAAAAATAAATTAGAAAATTCAAGAAAAGAACACATTAAGTTAGGAAAAGAACACCATTTTTCCGAAAGGAGTCTTTTTAAAACGGGGCCTATTTCCTGGGACAGGAGAAACGGGGGCGGGGGGCGGGGTTCGAAGGAGTGAGTTTGATTTCAAGTATTTTCCATACGGGTTCATTTATTGGGTGGAAAGCTTACAGGAGTCCGCCGGCCCCTCCCACTTCCAGTGCAAACTCGCCTCCACGCGCTTCCGCCTCGCTGTCCCCGCAAGGCACAGAGGGTGGGTGCTTCCCGAGCCCTGGTCACCGCAGCGCGGCAGGCAGAGGCGCGGGGCTGGCTGTCCTGTGCAAATGGCGGCCGAGAGCAGGGCTCGCAGTTCCCTCAGACACTGGGGTCTTCCTGTTCAGTTAAGGAAACAAAACATTACCGACCGCTGCCAGCCGCTCAGACACACAAGGGAGCCGGCGCTGGTGGCTCCCACCTATAATCCGAGCTTTGCAGAAGGCAGAGATCTGAGGATGGTGGTTCAAAGCCAGCCCAGGTAACCACCAGAAAACCGAAGTGGAGCTCAAAGTGGTAGAGGTAGGGCAGTAGCCTTGAGCAGAAGAGCTCACAGGCAGTACCCATACCCCGAGTTCAAGCCCCAAGACTTACCAAAAAACAGAAAGAAGAAGAGGGTGGGCGCCAGTGGCTCACGCCTGTAATCCTAGCTACTCAGGGGGCTGAGATCTGAGGATCTCAGTTCAAAGCCAGCCCAGGCAGGAAAATCCATGAGACTCTTATCTCCAGTGAACCACTAGAAAACCAGAAGTAGCGCGGGGCCATAGCTAAAAGTGGGAAAGCCCGAGCCTTGAGCCAAAGAGCTCAGGGACGGAGCGCAGGTCCAGAGTTCAAGCCCCACAAACGAAGCAGCACAGGGGAGGCCTGCCAGGGAGACAACCCAGCTTGGCCCCACCCTGCCCAGGACCAGAATCAGCCTGGGCCTAATGGCCGTGGCCTCCTCAGGCCCACGTGGCACGGCCCAGCTTGAGCGTGAGGGAGACACGAGTCAGTCCCCCTCTCGTGGCGTGGCTTCTGTCTGCACAGGCAGGATTGGGGCCCCACATGGACCACGTGGCCCTTTCCCAGGACAGCTGGGTGTGAGCTGGCCATCTAGGGAAGGCCTCCTTCGCAGCTTTGTAGATGAGTCATGTTACACAGCCCAGGCTGGTCTCAAACTTGTGTTCCTCCCAGGTGCTGGGATTACAGGTGTGCACCACACACCAGGCCAGCATGTACACAGTTGTTTTTGTTTTGGGTCGGTCGTGGGGCTTGAACTCTGGGCTTGGGCGCTGTCCTTGTGCTCTTCAGCTCAAGGCAAGTGTTCTACCACTTGAGCCACAACACCAATTCTGGTTTTCTAGTGGTTTATTAGAGGTAAGAGTCTCACAGACTTTCCTGCCCGGGCTGACTTTGAACAGTGATTCTCAGGTCTCATCCTCCTGAGTAGCTAGGATTTCAGGCGTGAGCCACCAGCGCCCGGCTATGTACACTGTTTTTCGTGGGAGATTTTTGTTGTTGTTTTGTGGCTGATGCTTGAACCCATGGTCTTGAGGGTCTTAGTCAAGCACCCTTACTGCCTGAGCCACATGCCCAGCCTTTGCACACTTTTCTCTTGGCTAGCACTCTACCACCTGAGCCACAGTGCTACTTCTGGTTTTCTGGTGATTGATTGGACATAGAGTCACAGGGATTTTCCTGTCCTTGCTGGCTCTGAACACCGTCCTCAGACTTCAGCTGCAAGTAGTCAGGATTACAGATGTGCGACACTGGTGCCCCAACTTCTGTTAGCTTTTTCACTCAAGGCAGCCCTACGCCACTTGAGCCACAGCTCTACTTCCGGCTTTTTGATGGCGATTTAGAGACATTAGTCTCAGACTTCCTTGCCCAAGCTGGCTTCAAACCTCGATGCTTAGAACTCAACCACCTGAGTAGGTGGGAGCACAGGTGTGAGCGCAGGTGCCCAGTATCAGGTAACTCTTGACCCTGATTTCACAAACGGCTTGTACTAGAGCCTCTGGTATAGGGTTCTTTGGACCCCAAGCCAGGGTTTGGATTAGGTGCTGCTCTGCTGTGACCTTGAACAAGACAGACACCCAACTTCAGCGCTTTTCCCTTGTAAACTGGAGGACAGCCCTGCCATGAGTTACTTTCTGATGTCCTCTCAAAACACTTAATATTGAGGCTGGGACTGTGGCCTAGTGGTAGAGTGTTTGCCTAGCATGCATGAAGCCCCAGGTTCGATTCCTCAGTACCATATACACAGAAAAAGCCAGAAGTGGCGCTGTGGCTCAAGTGGTAGAGTGCTAATCTTGAACTGAAGAGCTCGGACAGCGCCCAGGCTGCAGGCCCAGAGTTCAAGCCCCATGACCAACAAAAAATAAAAAATAAATGAAAACACTTAATATGGAGAGCTCTAGGACTGGCTAGGAAGGACGCCCATTCCTGCCCCGGTCAGGCCACCTTTCTTGGGACCCAGGACTGAGCCAGCGGAAGCCTCTTTCTTTCTGCGGGAGCGCTAGGAGGGTGTCCTACCTTGCTCCTGAAGAGAGGCTTGGCTCCGGGCCCACAGTACTCGTTGTAGATGAGCTTGAAGAGGAAGAGGTGGAAGAGGGTGATGAGGGAGGCCACGCTGAACCAGAAGAGAAAGGGCAGCCCGGGGTCCTGCTGGGCCATGTGCTCGTCGTGGGCCAGGATGGCCTTGAGGTGCAGCGTGTGCCGCAGGTCCTGCAGGTGCATGAGGTCGGTGGAGAGGTACAGCAGAGGCGTGATGGGCTGGGTCACCATGACGGGGAAGGTGTGGCCCGCGGGCGCCGAGGTCAGCTCCACGGGGTCGTGCAGACAGCCGGCCTGGCACGCGTAGATCTTGCTGGGCTGGCCTCGGGGCTCCACGGACACGTGCAGGTAGGGTTTGCCCTCAGCGTCCAGAAGCACGGCCAGGTCAATGTGGTCGTTCTTGTATCGGATGCCGTGCAGCGCATAGCTGTTGTGCAGCACGTCGGGGTCGGCCTGGAACTGCAGGTGGTTCTCGGTGAACTGCAGTCCCCCGAAGCTGAGCACCATGCCCTGCAGGATGCCCGGGGCGCCCACCTTCACCAGCCCTTTGCAGCCTCGCTTCTGGAGGGTCAGCTTCCAAAGGTCGGAGAGCTGCAGGGTCTGCTGGATCGAGGACAGCCGGCTGGGCCACAGGTTCTCAGCGTGCATGGTGGCATGGCCACTGAAGCAGTGGTCTTCGTAGTTGAGCGTCGACTCCATCTGGTCTCGCTCCTTGTGACTCAGGGCCGGGCTGAGCAGCGGGGCTGGCGAGCAGGACAGCATGTAGTACAGCGTCAGGTTCACGGTCAGGCCGGATGGCGTGTGGGCATCGGTGATCTTCTTCATCTCCACACCTGGAGCACCACAAAGGCTGCAGGTCAGCGGTGGTGGTGGAGCGAGGGCCACGCCCCCAGCGGTGGGAAGAGCAGTTCCCCTCCCCCTCGAGCATGGGAGGAAATCGTCTTGTCCAATGGGAACAGTGAGCCCACAGGCCTGAAACCTGAAGTCCCACTGGAACACAGTAAGGCCTCCTGCCAGCCCTGCCCTCTCCAGTGCTATAGCCTTAAATGACACTGCCCACATCTGCAGGGATTCAGGTATCACACACACACACACACACACACACACAAACACACACACACACGTACGCATGCACACATGTTGGGTAGCATGGGGCGTATCCCCAGTCCCAGTCACCTCTCCTCTTACCTGTCTGATTTTGTCCACTTTTGTCCCTCCACACACAGCAGCCGGGGGGATCTTTCCAAATGTACATCAGCTCACATCCCTCTCCCGCCCCCCCCCTTCCCATCCTTCTTAGAATAAAAGGGTTCTCACCGAGCACTTACAGATTACTGCCACCCTGGCCTTTCTCACCAGCTGCCAGCCACTCAGCCTGCTCCTATCCTGGGAAGTACCCAGCCTGCACACCCGCTCCCCATCTCCTGACTGGCTACTTCCGGTCACCGGGGTCCCAGCTGTGTGTCTGTGATGGAGGGCTGCCTTGAGCTGGCTGCAGCCCTGCCCCACCCCTTTCCCCTCTCCCTCCACTACATTTTGGACTCCTCACCATAGCAGTTTTTCTTCTCTAAGCACCAAGAAACCGAGAACAGTGCTTTGCTCACTGCCCTCCCCCCCTCAGAACAGGATCAAGCAGCCGCATTTGAAAAATAACCTGTGGAGTCAATTCCCTGAACTCCAAATGTAAGATAATGCAGGAAATGTAACCAAATGCAGGAAAGCAAAACCCCACGCTCACTGCAAACAAGATTCCCTTTTCTTAAACCTCCCAGGGAGAGAACTCTGGCCATGCAGGGGACAGACACAGATCACTGGCCGGGCAGATGGGCCAGACCTGTCCCAGCAGCCAGGGAGAGAACCTGGGGATCCCCCTACTGCTGTTTTTATTTTCTTCCTCTTTTTGTGTGCTGGTATAGGGGCTTCAACTCAGGGGTGAGTGCTGTCTCTCCTTTTACCTATTTAGCTCACAGCACAATTCCATTTCTGGGTTTGGTTGTGTTTGTTTTTTTTTTTTTGGGGGGGGGGTTCACTGGAGGTAAGAGTCTCGCAGACTTTTCTGCCCAGGCTGGCTTTGAACTGCCATCCTTGGATCTCAGCCTCCTGAGAAGCTAGGATTCAGATGTGAGCCACTGGCGGGCACCTGGCTTGCTTTTACCCTTTCTGAACTGACCCTAAAAAACTCTACCTGCTCAAATCAGCCTTCACCCAAAAGGAAGTAGCCAGACCTGACCTTTCCTCTCACTTTCTCCTATCAATCTCATAAAAGCCTTGCTGTAGGTGTTACTAAATGCACTGTGACTAAACGCAGGTCCAGAGAGAGAGAACCTGAATCCCAAGTCTCCTAGAGCCTAAGTCATTCAGCAGCGAACCAAGGACACAATCACTGAGCTCGAGTGACACCTTCAGAGTCACCTCTACAGAGGGCACGGCCCAGTGCACCGGCCTCCCCGCCCCGCCCCCTCACCTGGGCTGAACAGCTGCGCCCAGAGGTGCTGGTGGTCCTGCAGCAGCTGCGCAGAGGGCATCTCCAACAGCTCCAGCATTTCCTTCCGGGCCAAGTCCTGCAGCGCCTTGAGCTCCTTGGCTGCCTTGCTTTTGAGCACCTGGGGGTGGAGGGGGCCGGAGACGTGCACCACCCACAGCACCGTCTCATCCAGCTGCGTCTTGGGAGCCACCTGCAGCAGGTTCACCAGTTTCTTGGCGGCCACCACCACCAGATGCACCATCCCCGAGGGAAGGGGCGGGGACCGGCCCGAGTAGAGGAGGAACTGATGGTCTCCGGCCTTCTCCAGGGTACTGGTGAAGGCCTTGGGGCCGGGGCCGGCGGTGGGCCCCACAGTCTGCAGCGCGGCCACGCGCTCCGTGGGGTTGTTGAGCTGGATACGCTGCACGTACACGTGGGGTCGGCCCCGATGGGCCAGAAAGTCCTCCTGCAGCAGCACGCAGTCACGGCCCGACCCCGAGGCGAGGCCCGAGGCGGAGGCGGGCCC